AATAATAATAATAATAATAATAATAATTAATAATAATAATAATAATATAGGAAATACTAATGCTCTGATGATCATTTCGAAAAATCCTTTCTTAGTGAGCCCCTAGAAGCCAAGAGGAACATATGTGCCAAATTTCAAGTTTGTACAGTTTATGGTTCTGGAGATTTTGTGATGATGAGTGAGTGGTATTTCGATTTTATATAGATAGATTCAAATATTGCATGGGCTGTACTGTCATTTCCATCCCCTTAAACCTTTTTAGCAATGCGATGATTAATTTCTTTTTGTTAATCATTCTAATTTGTAGTTATTTCTCCCCATCCCCCAATCCTTTATAGGTTAGCTCAGCATTTCTCAAACTTGGCAGTTTTTAAGACTCGTGGCTGGGGAATTCTGGGAGTTGAAGCCCACCACCTGTCTTGTAGGTTTCTAGACATGATAAATAAATCCATAAAGCTTGAGAGACATGGAGCTAGATAAGGTTATCTTGGCAAGGTTTCAAGTCATGCCAATATAGCAATGAATGAACTGTCTTGTTTGGTTTCCTTCCCTGAATAATTTGAAGGTGAGGCCCTCCGAACCTTTTGCCATATGAAATTCAAGATAAGATCAAGAAACCTCTCTAGGATTAGAGTTATTATTGCAAAGGAAATAAACAGACTGAGTGTTTTATGTTTTGGAGTCATTTTTATCCCATGCAATAAGTTCTATATTTGTGGATCACCTCCCCCTTTCTCTCTTGGTTGCATCACTGAGTTGCTATGATGATTCGTCACACAACCAGCCAGATGTTTAGACTCGACTTGGTATTTTTGTCAACCTATTGAAGCCTTCCCCTAAGATCTGGGATAGGTAGATGCCGTTGTTTGATGATATTCAAGATATCGTAGCAGGAGGTCAGCCATTCAAAGTCAAGCTGCCTTTTGCAATTGACCAATGGGGATTTTTCAACGGCAATGCTGTTCAAGTATTATGATGATGATGGTTCATTGTAGAGTCAGCCAGATGTTTAAACTAGATTTGGCACCTACTTCCCCAGGACCTGACATAGGCAGATGTGGAGGTATGATGGTGTTCAAAGGTCTAGTTGCAGGACGTAAGCGGTTCCAGGTCAAGCTGCCTTTTTGCAATTGACTGATGGGGTTTTTGTCAATGCCACGGCATCCAAGTATTATTATCATGGTTCATTGCACAGTCAGCCAGATGTTTAGACTGGATTGGGCATTTTTGTCCACTTCTCGAGCCCTTCCCAAGAACCTGGGATAGGCAGAGGTGGATGTTTGACGGCGTTCAAGCTCCGGTTGCAGGATATAAACTATTCCAGGTCAAGCTGCCTTCTGCAATTGACCGATCAGGATTTTGTCAATGCCACTGTGTATTATTATTATGATGATAGTTTGTCACACAGTAAGCTAGACTGGATTGGACACCTGTGTCCACCTTTTGAGCCCTTCCCCAGAGCCTGGCATAGGGAGATGTTCTTGTTTGTGGGTGTTAAGATCCCACTGCAGGATGTAAGCTGTTTCAAGTCAAGCTGCCTTCTGCAATTGACTTGACGGCCAGTCTGTCAATGCCAATGAGATTCAAGTGGTGCTCCAGATGTTTTGGGATGACTCCCAAAGCGCCAACCCCTCTTGGTGCTACCTTGATGCTTTCTTTCACCCCAATCGTTCTGCTTCTTTACAGATCGTTGTGCTTGGCCATCTTCACCAAGTGTTTCTCCTCTTCCTCTTTTATTCCAGATGAGGTTCCTATCAGGACCTGGCTACCCAAAGAGAATCTTTTCACTTTCCAAACGGCGACTACCACTATGCAAGCGTAAGTTCAGACAAAGAAAATTGGGGTGACCAAACGGGGGGAGGATGGGGGACAGCAAGCATTGGGAGTGGAAGCCGTGTGTGAATCAGGATTCCAACCCAGCGTTGGAGGAGCAAAAAATAAATAAAAATTGGCACGCTCTTTCCAATCCCTCCGCCAGCAACTCCTCTGCCCTTTTCTTTATTTAATGCTAAATTCATGTGATAGAACAGAAGGTCCTCTGTTTATGATCACTTCTTTAAGGGCAGTCTGAAAGCAGTGCGTCCTCTGCAAAAGTGACCTATGATCTCGTTAAAGTCGTGATCGTCACAAAACCCCCACAATCACATCACCACAATCTGGACACTTGGCAACCATGTTGCACTTTTAATTTGGTTCATTCGATTTGTTTTTGCTGCTCATCTTGGCAGAAACCTCCCCATGGTCCCCCGATCAGAATTTGGCCGCTTGGTCACTGGCTCGTAGTTATGATGATCGCATTGTCCGGGGTTCCTGCAATCCCCTTTTGTGACCTTCGGATGAGCCAAACCCACGAGAAAGCCGGATTCGCCGAACCACCATGTTGCTGTCTTAAAAATGGCTTGGATTCACTTAACAACGGTGTCAATAAAGATAGTCAAATGGGGTAAAACTCCCTTAGCAACTGTCTTCACTTAGCAGCAGAAAGGTTTGGGCTCCATTGCAGTCATATGCTGTGAAATGTGTGCATTTGTGAACCATTTGCACAACGAAGGATGATTAACGATGAAAAGGGGTTTTTGCCACTAACATCTCTTCTCGCTGTTTTTCTTTTTCTGCTTCTGGATTCTTTTGGGGGGCTGCCAGCATTTCGTAAGTATAATTGCCTCCACGTCTCCATAAATCTTGTGTATTCTTTTATCGCTTGCTTGTATGGGCATCCTTGGGTCAAAACTTCTACTTTTCTTCTGGTATGTTGTGCCGGTGTTGATAACCCCCTCCAAAAACAAGACCTAGAGTTGGGCCTTTCTCCTGCAACCATTTTTGTTTGGAAAGGTGAAGATGTTGTGATCCACAACTTCATTTCTCCTGTCTGCTGCTTCTCAACTTCCTTTTTTTTTTTTTTTTTTTTTGTTTTCTGGCCAAGTTGGGCGACTGGAATTCAAAGCGTTTAAAAAAAAAAAAAAGCACCCTCAGTGAAGCCTTTGCGTTGATCGTTGTGTCTAATCCTTCCCCGCTGCCTCATGTGGTCCTTTGTCCATCCATGATGTATTTTCATACGAGGAGATCCTTCGAGGGGTTGTAAGATGCAGATAAAAGGGAGCGCGGTGGCTCAGTGGCTAAGACGTTGAGCTTGTCGTTCAGAAAGGTCAGCAGTTCGGCGGTTCGAACCCCCAGCGCCGCGTCACGGAGTGAGCTCCCGTTCCTTGTCCCAGCAGCTTCTGCCAACCTAGCAGTTCGAAAACACGTTAAAAATGCAAGTAGAAAAACAGGGACCCCTTTGGTGGGAAGGCCACAGCGTTCCTCCGTGCGCCTTCAAAGGTGTTTAGTCCTGCCGGCCACTTGACCACGGAGACGTCTTTGGAGAGCACTGGCTCTTTGGCTTTGAAACGGAGATGAGCAGCGCCCCCTAGAGCCAGAAATGACTATTATGTATGTGCGAGGAGGGGAACCTTTACCTTTAAGATGCAGATGTAAACATCAGGGTGGCTGAAAGAAAATCGTGCAATCAGAGGGAAAGTATTTTGTCTTTGTGGAAATGTGGAACGAGTTTGAATTCTGGTGTCCCGAAACAGTGGAGTTTGGAATAATTGAGGGAGTAACCCTCCCACCCTGAAAGTGAAAAAACAGAATTTGGCATCTGCTTAGGGACCTTAGAATATGTGCTGTATTTTATTCATAGTTTGGGGCCTTGCAGCATTCCTGACAGACAGTGATGTTGTTGTCCTGATGGGTCATAAAACATCTGCAAGCAGATAACCCAGCTCAGAGCTACTGCATATAAACAGGGAGCAAGTTACACCAACTAGCACTGATGATGTTCCCTAGTTGGGTCGTGAGATGTCCGCAAGAGAACAACCAAGCTCAGAGAGCATCAAGGACCTCACATCTATCGTTCTCCATTTAAATCCCATGAAGGATAGAAAGTCTCTCTGAATCGTCTCAAAAAATAAAATCCCTTTGGATATCAAATCCAAGATTCGGTTCCTGTTGGAAAACTTGGCCCCTTTTCTGTTCTTCTCCAGGATCTTCTCCTGAGAAACTCGGGAGATCTCTGATCCTGAAAATAATCTCTTGCCTTCCTAGTCAGAAATTCCCGAAAGTTGGATCTTCCTTCCGTTTCTTCAAGCCTTTTGAAAAGCCATTTCAGCTGGGGGGGGGTAGTAGCAAGTTTTATAAGTCTGCCTTTTGGAAGACTTCTCTCCTTGGGCTGGTTCTCAAAGGAACGGAGGTCGACGCTGGAGGTCGTGAGTTCTAGTTCTGCCTTAGGTACAAAATCGTCCCCGTGACTTTTGGGCCAGTCCTTCTTTCTCTCTCTCTCAGTCGTAGGAAGAAGGATCCGGCAGGTCAATTGTGGTGCAGTGGTTAAAGGCACGGGATTATAGAGGTTGGAGACCCTGAGTTCTAGTCCTACCTTAGACACGAAGCCTTCTGGGAGGCCTTGGGCCAGTTCCCAGCCCTAAGGAGGAGGAGGGGGAGGAGGAGGAGGAGGCCAGGACATTCCACTTCCAAAAGTGTTGCTCCAGCGTAGGGTTGACTCCACATGTTGTGCCTCGTTTTGATGGGGGTAGAGGTTTCCTTTCTCCCGCCAGCTGTCTCCTCACCCAGATTCTTCTGCCCGCAAATCGGTACACGACACCCCGCCTGGCCCACTGGTCCCCTTTGCCATCTTGTAATGTGGCTCTCCCGTTTTGGTCCCTCGCGTCTCCTCCTCCTCCTCCCCGATTCCGAGATTCGGTACAAGTGTCCATCTCCTCCCCCCCCCCCCCCTTGTCCTCCCCCCCTGTCCTTTCCATGTCCCATCGCTCCCTTTGGAAGCTGCCGTTGGCTCGCTTTTTAACGCCTTAAAACCTGGTTCCCCAGGGCGTTCAGGGGCTACGCCGAGAGGAAACGTCGCAAACGGGAGAACGATTCGGCCACTTTGATCCAGAGGTACGGAGGCGGATTTTTTTCTCTCTCTCTCCCTTGCACGGGTTCAAATTTTTGCCTGGTTGTATGCGCCAGCTGTCACGGGTGCTGCGATTCCTTGTTTTGTTTTTTGTTTTACTTTTTCCTGGATGAAAGGAACGAAATGCTTTCAAGATTTCCCACGTCCCTCTTTGCTGAGCTGCTTCGCAGATAATGGTTTGTTTTCTTCGTAAGGGGAACTGTTTTTTTCCCCCCAAAAAATCAAACTCAGGGCAATTTTTTTTTTTAAAAGGGGCGCGTTAAGACCTCGTCACAAGACCCCACGTGCAAAACTGCAAAAGGGGCAGTGAAGAACATTCATCTGTTCTGATAAAGGAGAATATTTGCAGCTTAGGGTTGGAACGAGGGGCTTCTGGGTGCTTCAAACAGTTGGGCCGTCTCTGCTTCCTCCCTTGGCAAGAATCTGCACTGCAGTGCTACCTTATACAGATAGTCCTCGACTTACAACATGTTCACTGAGTGACCGGTCAAAGTTTCAACCACGGCACTGAAAAAAAAGAGCGACTTAGGGCAGCTTTTCACACTTACAACCGTTGCTGTGCCCTCCCCTCCCCCATAGTCCTGTGATCGAACTTGGCAACTGATTCATACTTATGACAGTCTCAGCATCCCGGAGTCACACGTGGTCCCCTTTTGCGACCTTCTGACGAGCAGGGTCAGAAAGAGGGAAAGCTGGATTCCCTTTAAGAACCGTGGCGAGCAGTGGTGGGATTCAACCTGTGTAACAATTGGTTCGGTGGGTGCAGCGTGTCAGGACTCCAACAAATCCACCCCCCATTCAAATCACTAGCCGCATCTCAGAGAAAAGAAAATTGATTTATTAGACGTGGCCATGTTGGCGTTAGCTGGGTGCAGCCGATGCTAAAATACATCATTCATTTCCCCCTTGACCCTGGTCTTCCCCCCACCCTCTGGATGTATATTCTCCAGTGGGACACATCCATAGCCAAGAGTCATCAATCATGCTCTCCAGTAATATCCTTGGCTCCGACAACTCTGGGCTGCCAGGGTGATTATCTAGGCACTTAAGGAATGCACTGTTTTCCCCCCACTCCCTTTTCCTGGCAGCTAAAAAGACCAAAGGAATATCTTTTTAGTTGACACAGCATTTGAAAAATGACCATTTTTAGCTCTAATGTTTACCTTCTACCGCAGCCCCGATGAGTAAAAGAAGCTGAGCTGCGCTCACAAACAAGGAAATAAAGCACATGAAGGAGTAGGTGGCCGGGGCCAAACGATCCCCGGAACTACCGGTTCTCCCAAACCGGTTCGAACCGGTAGAATCCCACCCCTGCGTGTGAATCACTTACCAACCACGGTGGCAAAAGAAGGGTCGCAAACCAGGGCAAAAACCTCACTTAAGCAAGCGTTTCGCTTAGCGGCAGGAATGTGGGGCTCCCTTGCAGGTCGTAAGTCCAGGACTACCTGAATTCCTCACCTTGCCTCTCGCGCCTCTGCTTATTTTCCTGGCTCAGAATCCAACTCGCATGTTTGAGAAGAACAACCGCTGGAGGGGGAAAAAAAACTAACCCAAGCCTTCTGCCTTCTCCTTTTCTCTAAAGAGGCTTTTGCAACCCTGAGCATCTCACTAATTTATGGAATTGGGTGGTGGGAGATTATTTGGGGTAAAATTTATAGGTGGTTAGAGATTATTTCCTTATAAAAGAAAATATAAGGTCTTGGGCTTCGATAGACGACAAGGCTGTTTGCTTGAGGCTGCCAGGGCAGCTTGTAACACTGTTTTGCTTTTCTTCTTGAAGCCGTGCTCAAAGCCACTCATGTTGCTAGTCCTCAGGAAGGCAGGATTCCAATGCAAACCGAGCCCCTCCGTGAAAGAGAATTAATCTGATGGGAAGCAAACCCGGTGGCCTTTAATATATATCTTTTGTTTCAGGCTTCAACTTGTCCTTTTGAGTCATGTTAAAAACAACAAAAAATAGAAATAAATCATGCCTTTAAAGACTCTTTCACATTTGAGGAAAAGGCAAAATAATTCTTTATAAGGGACGCAAGGCAGTAAAACACCAGAATCACTCCTGAAACACTCCAGAGTATCCCTAAATATCAGAATATTTGTGACGTTCGTGGAAAGAGATTTCAAAACGAATCTGTTCTTTGCAAAAGAAGGTGAAGGAGACAGGAAAAATGGACTGCTCTAATCTTGGTAGGATGGATGCGGAGAGTTGCCATTCCAGAGTTGTTCATGGTTGCTCCTGATCCAAGATTAGCAATCGAATGAGTGATTCCTAATTCAGATTAATTGGGATAACAGGATAACAGAGTTGGAAGGGACTTTGGAGGTCTTCTAGTCCAACCCACTCCTTAAGCAAGAGACCCTACACTTTTTCAGACAAATGGCTGTCCAGTGTCTTCTTAAAAACTTCCAGTGATGGAGCCCCCAAAACTTCTAGTGGCAAGCTGTTCCACTGGTTAATTGTTCTCACTGTTAGGAAGTTTCTCCTAAGTTTTAGGTTGCTTCCCTCCTTGATTACTGGAATCAATAGAAGGATGCAAGTTTGAAAGGTAGTGGGTCAGGATCCTGGGCAATAGTTAGTCCAAAGTTCAGGATTACAGATCCAAGAATATGGATATTACTCCAACTTGCTTAAATGGATTTATTAACTAAATGCATTGCCTGTTTGCAAAGGTAGTGTGAAGGTAGATGGATGGACAGATAATGATAGATAGATAGATAGATAGATAGATAGATGATAGATAGATAGATAGATAGATAGATAGATAGATAGATAGATAGATAGATAGATGATAGATAGATAATGGATAGATAGATGTTAGATAGACAGGCAGACATGATGAATGAATGATGATTGATAGAGGGGGGGATAGGGAGAGAGTAGATAGATAGGGACGGATGGATGGACATACGTAATGATGGACAATGAATGGATAGATGAGTAGAAAGATATGTTGATACATAAGATAGCATGGATGGATAGATAGATGGGTAGATAAAAATGTTGAGTGGATAGATAAGATAGATCAATGGATACTAGATAGAAAAATAGATAGATAGATGGATAGATAGATAGATGATAGAGATAGATAGATAGATAGATAGATAGATAGATAGATAGATAGATAGATAGATAGATAGATGATAGATGAGACAGAGACAGAGGAGAGAGAGACGGAAATAGTGAATGGTTTATTCATTTTTACCCCATCCTAAATCAAATCAAATAATACATTTTGTGCAAGGGTGTGTGGGTGTAACCCCCATTCTTTTAACCATTTTAGGGGATGGCATTGCAAAATTTCAGAGTGCCTCCTCTAAGCTATTTGCAAGCCCACTTGGTGACGTTAATTTACTTCGCACTCATTTGGTTGTCCAAATTTCATTTTAATCAGAAATGCTCATCCGCCTGCCTTTTCTGTGGCTCCACGTTCAGTGTGTAAGGATGGTGATGCCCAAAGCAGGAAAAAAAACAAAAACCCTCAAATAGAGGTTTCTTTGTGGGGAGAAAAAAAAAAAATACAAGGAGAACTCATCCAAGCATTGATATCGGCAGCCAACGGTCTCGTTTAAATGGTGGTCTATTTCATCTTTCCCATTCCAACTCCATGGAAGACTTTCGAAATGCCTTGATGAAACGAAGAACGACCTTAAACTGCGAACTACAGTGAAAGATACCGTCATAATTTACTCCAGGTGGTTTGCCAGAGATCACCCTGGAGAAATGGCTTTCTTCCTCTTTGCCCTCAAGGCTGATGGCCTTCCATGGTTTTTTTTTCCTCCTCTTCTTTCAGAAACTTCCGGAAACACCTCCGTATGGTTGGGAGCCGCCGCATGAAGGCTCAAAGTAAGTGAGCAGGTGGAGTGGGATCGGGAGTGACTACGTCGTGCCGCCTTCTCCCAATTCCCAAGATCTCTCCTTCCCCGACCAGGGTTGGACCTTTCTGACCCCCAGGGCTCTCAGACAAGCTATCCTAAAGCCCCCCAAGGATAGAGCATGTTTGTGCAAAACATTAGGAGTGATCCTGGGTTGGAGAAAGGAATTTTTTTGTGGAGGGAAGCGGGGAACAGGAAATGTTTTTGTGGCACCCACTGCGCTTATAGCAAAAGATGGTGAGCCAGGGATGGGTGTGATTTTTAGCAATATTTTGTCATAATTAGTTTCCTCCTCCTCCTCCTCCTCCTCCTCCTCCTCCTCCTCCTCCTCTTCTCTTCCTCCTCCTCCTTTCCTCCTCCTCCCCTTCCTCCTCCTCCTCCTCCTTTCCTCCTTCTCCTCCTCTTTTCCTTCCAGCTTTTGCCGAGAGGCGTGAGAGGAGTTTCAGCCGGTCCTGGAGCGATCCAACTCCCATTAAGCCTGAAAACCTCAGTGACTCCCGAGAAAGTATGTTCCTTTTCCTTGAACACCCAATTATTCCATAGGAAATAGGTTGAGGGGTGCGGGAGAGAACATCAAAATGCCAATCTGAGCAAGTTTGAGCAGTGAGGGCAGAGGCAGCAACGGTTGTCTTGACCTCATAGAGGAATCATGCACCCCTTGGAAACCTCCCAACTAAACTCTTGCAACCTCCTCATCCCCAACGGTGTGTAGTCGTTGTTGAACAATAGCTGGAGTGTTTCCGTTCCTTCCACTCCACTCTTGTTCCTAGCCTGGAGCTACTCAAGAGTCACGGGGGACAGACTGAATGCAGGGTTTTTTTGGACTCGTGATGGCAGGATCTCCTTATACTTCATCTTGGACCTGTCCTGAAAGGAGGTCATGGTCCACGTAGGCTCCATCATCATCCTTGGAAGCACATGGGAATTTCTGCATTGACAGAGGTGGACCTCAAAACCCTAACCCTTCTCTCACTCACAGGCCATGAATTTCAGGATTCCTGCTGTGCCATTGACAAAGGGTTTGACTTGAACTGGGAGGTGGAGAAAGAACTGGAAGCGGCCGCCTGCAGTGGGGAGGACTTCGTTCCCCCCAAAATCATGGTAGGCCGTCCTCGAGGTCTTCAAGCAATTCGAGGGGCCCTCTGGGATGGGGAAAAACAGTCCTGCCTGCCTCTTGCTCGTCCTGCTCCCAACTTTCGTAGTTGGAAGGAAAACTCCTGCCACTTACAATTCTCTCTCCTTCTAGCTCATTTCCTCCAAAGTGCCCAAAGCGGAGTATGTTCCAACGATTATCCGTCGCGATGACCCATCGATCATCCCCATTCTCTATGTAAGTCTTGGACTGGAGCTGTGGAGGAATGTCCTGCCTGCCTGTGTCTCTCCTCCTCCTCCTCCTTATCCACCCACCCATTTATCCCCCTCCATCTGTCCATCCACACATCCCCCTCCCTCATCTCTCATTCTCTCCATCTCTCCAGCCTTCCATTTCCCATTTCTGTCCATCTCTCCCTCCCTCCCTCTTCTCCATTATCCACTCTTCCTTTCATCCCCTATCTCCTATCTATCTATGTATCTATCTATGTATCTATCTATGTATCTATCTATCTATCTATCTATCTATCTATCTATCTATCTATCTATCTATCTATCTATCTCTTTCAACTATCATCTATCTATCATTATTTGTCTATCCATCTGTCCATTTTATCTACCTACCTACCTACCTACCTACCCACCTATCTATCATTATCTGTCCATCCGTCTATCTCTCTCTCTCTCTCTCTATCTATCTATCTATCTATCTATCTATCTATCTAATCTTATCCCTCTGTCTCTATCTGTCCGTCAATCTACAAATCTTTTTCGCTCAATCCATGTATCCTCTATCTTCATCCAACTTCCTACTCAGCTATCTGTACTGCTCTCTTAGGTCTTCTTCCTATTTTTCTTCTACCTCTTTCCTGTCATTTCTGCCTCCCTACCTTTCCAGATCTTCTCTCTCCTCTCTAACTATAGATCTTCACTTGAATCCCACTACCCTTCTCTCTGCCCCATTCTCTCCTCTCTGTTGGTCCTCCTGGACCTGCCGTGGCTCCCTCCCTTGATCCTTTGCCTCTTTGTTTGTTTTCAGGATCATGAACATGCCACCTTTGATGACATTCTGGGTACGTCAGCTTTGGGTCACAAATCAAATGAAGTTATGGTATGAAAGTTGTGTTATATGTGTGTCTGGTAGCTTGGCAGAGGTGGGATTCAGCTGGTTTGGACCGGTTCTACAGAACCGGTAGCATAAATTTTGAGTAGTTTGGAGAACCGGCCAATCCCATCTCTGACTGGCCCCACCATCTCTTCTCTGCCTCCCATTGAGTCCCAGCTGATCAGCTGGGTCTTCCTTGGTTGCCCTGCACAGGAGAACGGAGCTGGAAAGCAGGTTAGTGGGGTGGGGAGGGAAGGGGGATTTTGCAGTATCCTTCCCCCTGCCAGGCCCACCAAGACACGCCCACAGAACCAGTAGTAAAAAAAAATGAATCTCACCACTATTAAGCTTGGCCAAAGATCCAGCTGGTCTGTGTTATAGGGTGGGAAATCTGGATCTATGAAAAGGGAGATCCTAGTAGATCCTTCAGGATGTAGGAAGTCTTAATAATCACTTCAACAGATGAAGAGGTGCCATATACTTCTTTCATTCTTAAAGTCGAGGGAATCTCTGTCCCACCTTCATTTTTTCCTCCCTCAAAGGGTTTCCTCCAACCTCCCCCAAAGTGAGCAATCCTTTAGTATCCCAGGAGGAGGCAAGGTGAGCAAACCTTTAGTAGCCAGGAGATGCCTGTTGGAGAAAATAGGTAGACTGGGTACCTCGACTTCCCAACTTCTCCCATAACTCGTGGTCTTGATGGATGGAGCACGGCTGACTGGGGGAATTCTGGGAGTTGAAGTCTGGACCTCTCCAAAGTTGCCACGGTTGGGAAACGTTGCTTGAGAGAGAAAGGGCCCCCACAGGGACTTTTCCCTGCTCCTGGGTGTCAAAATAACGACAACAAATCTACTCATCCTCACGGTGGAGCCGGCCAGAATTGGAGACTATCTTCTCCTCCTTTCTCCTGACCTTCCAGACTTAACAAATACAGCTGTTCCTCGCCTTACCCTCCCGACTGAGCCTGAAATTTCTGGGACAATCCTCGTACATATGGGTCAGTTGCCAAGGGTCTGAGTTTGGATCATGAGACCGTGGGATTGTCGCAAGTGTGAAAAAAATGGCCATCAGTCCCCTTTTTTTCAGGGCTGTTCTACCTTCAAACAGCCACTAGCCGAACTGTTGTAAAACGAGGACTACCTCTATCCCTTCATGGTGCACCTTTGCCCCCAAAGCCATCATCTCCTCCTCACTTCATCCTTTCGTCTGATCCTTCCTTCCTTTGTCCACAGAGGAAATCGAAAAAAAACTGAACATCTATCGGAAGGGCTGCAAAATTTGGAAAATGATGATTTTTTGCCAGGTGAGTGAACGAGCGTGAACCCTGAACCCTGCCGGCCCTTCCCAAGAGTCCACCGCCACCTTCCAGGCAGGGGTTGGCTTCAAAACATTTTTAGCCACCGTTTCTCTGCCTCATTTCTGGGTAGGCACAGCCAGGGTGGGCGTGGCCTAGTTGGCCTCCTGCACCACAGCAGAGGAGACGATGAACATTTTCGCCCTTCCCGGACTCCGGAGGCTTTCTTAGAGCCTCGGGGAAGGCGAAAACAGCCTCCCTGGGCTCTGGAGGCCCTTAGGAACGCCCGTTTCTGGACTTCCGGAGACTCCCCGTGGGCCCCGCACTTACCTGCGATCCCAAATGGGCCGTGTGGGGACTCCTGGGAGAGGCGGGGTGGGGTGGGCAGGGCCAGCCAGGGGTAGGATTTGCCGGTTCGAATGAACCAGGGTGAACCGGAAGCAGCCTACCCCTGGTTCCAGGTACTCACTTCGAAAAACTCCACCGAGGGACTGGAGGTTGACAGGGACCAAATCGTCTTCATCAAGGAACCGGCTTCCAACACCATTGGCATCGCACTTTCTCCCCAAATATGCGTGTTATCTCCTTGGCAACCGCCGGCCCCCGAATTCCAGCCTTGCCGAAGAGCAAATGGAAGAAGAAAGTCATGGCGGTTGTAGGGTGTTTCTCCCCCTGCCCTTTTTTTTTTTTTTGGCATTTGGGAGTGGTATTTTATTTCTTTATTTCAAGATTTATATGACCGCCCACTCCATCTCAGTGACTCTGGGCAGCTTACAAACAATAAGAAGAAACTCAGCATGGACACATATTATCTCCTCTAGTTCAATACCGATTAATACGTCACAGGTGGCCCTCAACTTATGTCTGCAATAGAGCCCAACGTCCCTGTTAAGTGAGACATTTGTGAAGTGATCTTTGTCCTGTTTTACGCCCTTCCTTGCCACATTGGTTAAGGGAATCACTGCAGTCGATAGGTCAGTCACCCAGTTGTTAAGTGAATCTGGCTTCCTCATTGTTTTTACTTGTCGGAAGGTTGTGATCCCATGACCACAGCAACGGTTGTAAGTATGAATCAGTTGCCAAGCATTTGAATTTTGATCACACGAACATGGGGAAGGCTACAAAGGTTGTGAAAAATGGTCTTGAGTCACTTTTTTCAATGCCGTTGTAACTTTGGACGGCCACTGAATGACCTGTTGTAAAGTTGAGGACTTGCTCAAAGGGGCTTGGTTCCTCTGCTCCTGTTCAGTTGTTGACTCTTCCTGTCATCTGTGTGGCTTGTCCTATCCCACACCAATGTCTCTCTAGGTGTTCCTGAAGCTCTTCTTCTTCACCCCGGCGATTGGAGAAGAAGGTTGAGGTTCTCCAGGCAGATTCCGGAAGGACCTTCTCTCTTCTTTTCTTTCCTTCTTGCAGGGAGGTCCGGGCCACTTATACCTCTTGAAGAATAAGGTCGCCACCTTTGCCAAAGTGGAGAAGGAGGAAGACATGATCTAGTGAGTCGAGAACCTCGTGAGGAATTGGCAGCTGGAGGTCTTTGGGAAATGCCTCCATCTCTCAAAACGTTCTTCCGTCTCGTTCTGCAGCTTCTGGAAGCGGTTGAGCCATCTGATGAGCAAGCTGAACCCGGTTCCAAATGTCATCCACATCATGGGATGTTACGTCTTAGGGAACCACAATGGCGAGAAGGTGAGTCCTGTGAGTAGTTTGTGAGCGAGTAAAAGAAAAACCTCGCCTCCTGGATGACCCCTCTTTCCGAAAACCTCTTTTATGGCTATGTTAACAGAGAAACAGAGTTGGAAGGGACCTTGGAGGTCTTCTAGTCCAACCCCCTGCTCAGGCAGGAAACCCTATACAATTCTGGACAACGGGTTATCCAATCTCTTCTTAAAAACCTTGGAGCATCCAAAACTTCTGGAGGCAACTGATTAATCGTTCTAACTATCAGAAAATTTCTCCTTAATTCTAGGATGATTCTCTCCTTGATTGGTTTCCATCTGTTGCTTCTTCTCCTGCCTTCGGTTGTTTTGAAGAACAGGTTGATCCAGCCCCCCTCCTTCTTCGTGGCAGCCCCTCAAATATTGCAACAGTGCTATCCAGTCATCCC